AATTTTTGGAGCTAAATGGAGCAGTTTCTGCATGGAAAGGAAAGTTAGGTTATGCTGGCCTGAAAGAAACATGTACAAGAAACGGGAGCATGAATTCATCATGTTGCTTCTAAGAGCCTGTGAGCCTGCTTCATCCTTTCTCTCTGAATCTTGTACAGTTGTGTGTCTTTCCTTTATTTTTGGTAAGTTATGCAATCAGATAGTGTCTCCATTCATTCGGATTTGAAAGAACCCACACCCTGTGTGTTATTTTATTTCACAGACGCCAAGGGAAATGGGTTGGTGCCAGTAGGGTGCTCAAGGCATGCAGAATAAACTCAGTCCAAGGAACTGAAACAGGCCAAACCCACTTTGAGACTCCATCCTCAGCAGCAGTCACAAAGCACTTCTCAGTCAGTGCCTCTGAAATCTCCACTAAAAATACGTCTTCTGTACTGGGGCTGAAATTCTCATCTGCAGCCAGTGATGGAGCACAGTGCCTGATCATCATTCCCAACTAGGTACTTCTCTGCCTGGGTACTATCTTGTAACTTTAAACATGGCCAAAGGAAGCCACCTGCTACCACTCAAGACTTCAGCCTGGTCACCAGAGGAGTTGGGGGACTACTGCACAAGTCTTAGTACCTTCTGCTTTCCCAGGCTCCCTAAACCTTAGAATTCCCTCCATTGGAGAGCTGGGACGCTGGGGGACGAGGGAGGGGACACGGGAGGGGCGGGGGAGTTCCTAATTGCTAGCAGCGGTCTAACGTAAACATGTATTCTGGGGACATTCCTTTCTCTCTCAATTTTGGCTGGGGGATGGGGTGTCTACACTTTGCTCTGAAGAGAAGCTCTTGATCCCTGAAGGGAGGCAATCCTGAGACTTTCGCTAGGAACCTGGGGAAATTGTGGAAGGGATCTTGTGGAAGGGTTCTGCTCTCCCCAAAGCTTCTGATCCTTAATCACTCAACTAGCATCTTGTTTAGGTGGGAAGTGCCTCTCCCCTGACCAGAGCAGCCGCCTGGCTTGGGGCCTCATGCTTCTGAACTCACCGGGTGCTGAGAACATGCAGGCAGCAAGAAAAGCAGGTAGTGTGCATCTTTGAATTTCATGCCGCCGCCCTCTGGGGTACTCCTTCACTCGCCCCTGCTCGTTTGCCTCCTCTGGTCTGGTCAGTCGCTGCTCACTGACCTCTCTCCATAGGAAACCCGGAGTCCTCTCCCGAGATCCGACCCCCACCTCTCCACTCCCCGTCCCCTGACACACACAGATAGACACTTTAGAAGGCAAGTCCAGGATCGTCCAGCGCTCACGGGGCGGCCATAGCTGCAGGAGGA